GTGTGCGGGGCCTGGATGCCTGTGCGTGTGTGTGTGTGTGTGTGCGCGCGTGTGCGCGCGGGTTGGCGAGGGCGCGTGTGCGCGTGTCTGCGCTCTGGGCCGCTCGGCGCGCTCGGCAATCGATTACAGGACAAGTGCTGCCCCGCGGCTCCGCGACGCGCGCACTCCCTCGCGCCCACCCGCGCGCCCGGCCGCGTCGCCCCCGGCCCTGCGGCCCCGCAGACAGCGGACCCCGCCCCCAAAGGGGGGACCAGGTAACCTGCTTCCGAGAGTGCCACGGCGACCCCAAACCGCTCCCCCCCAAGTCGTAGTAAATCTCACGTTTTCTGCCGGCTGGGAAGGAAGGATTGGAGCGGTGAGGGGAGGTTCATTTCGGCCGCTTGAAGTTTTCTTTCAAACTGGGATTTGTGACGAGGCCGGGCGAAGGGAGCGGGACGACGATTCAGCGCCCGCCGCGGAGCTCAGGCATCGGCGTCCTGGCCGGAGCCGGGGTGTGCGCGTGGACCCACCCACTCGGGCTTCGCAATTAACTATGCGGTACAATTTCAGAAAACGGCACCGGGGAGACCGGGACACGAATCACGATGAATTGAGGGAATGAATTGAGAAGGAAATTCAGGTCTGAGATGAAGCTCAACTATTTTGAAAGTGCTTTACCGTGCAAGTTTAAAATTAGAGTGTTTACTTGCTTTTGCTCCCCAGGGCTTGTGCCGCATTCACCAAAGTCAAAGGAACGGGTGAGGGTCCAAAAAGTTGGTACGAGGGAAGTGTTGCCGTCAATATCATCAGGTACAGCACAGCTTTTTTATTTGGGAAGAACGTCTGTGGATCGTCATGAAAAAAACAAATGCATATTTCTCCAAAAAATAGTATCATTTAGCATCTAACTTAACCACATTTGCAAAAAGAGGGAATAGAGGCTTCTATAATTAAAGGGAAAGGGAAAATGAAAGGAGCTGAAAATACTGAACTGTGTAGTCTGGGTGGCTTAAGTTTGAAAACACATGAAATTATCAGGACTGCCAAACAGCATTTTTGAGAAACCATATCACAGATTGTGAAGAAAATCAATGCTGAAGGAGTTAGGAGGAAGCATAGTACTCCTACTCCTTTCAAGAATCCCAAAAATAGTTGCTGAGTTTTGGGTTGGTTTTGTGTGTGTGTGTGTGTTTTCCTGCTGTGGAAAGAGAAATGCTACACTGAAAATAAAGTCATCAACTATATCTTAAACACTAGTCTGTAGGTCTATAAAATTTTGGACCATGTCTTTTCATTAGATTTTGGGGTGGGGAAGGAATTCATTCCCATTAATAAACTGAATAATGGATACCATGAGACTTGTATAGTAACTATATTTAAGTTGTATAATGAATTACTTCTTAAGAGTTTATTTCATGCATTGTATTTTTTAAACAATTGTGCAAATAGGCTCGTTTTTAAATTATGGAAAATGAAAGTTGGTGCCATAATGCAAACAAGATTAATCAGTTTTCATTGGAGAACAAATCATTTGGGCTTAGGTCAGCAACAACAACTTTATGACAATTTTAAGAAAAATTGCAGTTACTGTGAGTTATATATATATATATTTTTTTACTCCCCTGTGAGTTATATATTAGGCAGATTTTTGTGTGTTTTTTTAAGCCTATTATCTAAATAAAATTAATTTTCCTGAAGTCATATTTGGAAAAGACTGAAATTAGAACTCCACAAGTCATTCTAATCATCCCAGTAGATAGCAAAGATTTTAATCCTAAATTATCTTAGAAAATTGGAATGTTGTTCATTATGTATAAATTCCCAATATATAAAGAGAAACATAACTTCCCTGAATTGCCACAAGTCCTTCCTAAAATTTAAGCCTGTGTTTAAGTATCTGAAAAGTTATGGAGGTCCTTGGAAAAGATGAATTTAAAACATATTCAAAATTAAGATGAAATATCTGGATAGTTTTAAACAGTCTAATTATTAGTAGAAGAGGATCCATTGTGAAGTCTTAAGGAACCATCCTCAAATTTCCCAAAGCTACCAGAGTTGGAATAGTCCTTACCCATAGCTGGTTGAAGCTTAATTTAGCTCCCTTGAAAGCCTATCCTTTTCATGAGTTACTTTCATTGGCTCCAGAATCACCAGAGGCACACTCTCTCCCTCTAGTGGCTAAGCATTCAGACACTACATTTGGTGGCCAAAAATGGGGGATTTAGGCAGAGGGCAATGGCTCCCAAATTTTAGAATGGCAAAGATCGTATAACCACTTGTGAGAATTAGACCATTTTGGGAAATTTTTCTTGTTTTTAACATCTTATGTTTCTTTCTCATTTGCAGATCATGGTATGTCCAACTCACCCCAAAGAAGTCAAGGTTATGTTTATATACTAAAACCAGGGGTTCTATTTCATCCTCTGCAGTTGAATCATCCCGGCTCTGAGACTCACAATTTTTCTTGTAGAAAGGAACCTTTGTATAAACTGTAGTAATTCACTGAGTTCACAATTTTTCTCTACAGTATTTTTATAGTGGTTAGAGGGTATATTTATTTCCATCCTTTGCTGTAACTACGCAACACACATTTTAAAAGTACATATATGGTTATACTATGGATAAAAATGGATCACTAGGGAAGTGCAGTACCATATAAATATTCACTTTGGGAAGTTAGTGAGGAGGTGGGGAGAAAACATACCCACACCCACCATTTTTCAAACAGCTGCTTCTTTTTCATCCTTTCTGTCCCATCCTACCAGAAACTGTGCCAACCCAGCACCAACACTTATCTTAGCTCTTTGCACATTTCTTTCAATATACGATTTGTAAATTTTTTTTATTGGTTGAGTTCTAAAAGAAAATCTGTCTCCCCCACTAGAATGTCATCTTTGTCTTATGTCTGTCCTGCTAACAATTGTTTTCTCAGAACTAGCACAGTGTTTGGCATGTCGGTACTCAATAAACTTTTACTAAATGGATGAATAGCTAATCACATACTCACGTAGCTTCGTGTGTTAAACTGTTTTTAAGGGACAAAAAGGGTAGGATAACAAAGATATATTCTAATTCCATAAAGATTTTGGTCAAGTCTTGGCTCGTAAGTAATGTTAACAAACATCATTAACAGGTCAACTCTCTGGCTATGTCCACGTGAAGAATGTGAATACCTTGCTAAATAATATAACTTATAAAGAGGAAGAGTGGTTAAAATTGTACATCAAATATAATTTCGAATAAAATGCATTTATGTGACCACTGTTTCATAAATTATTTCGTGTTAATGCCTGATCATTCATAAACTAAGTTGACTAACAAAGAATGCAACAGATTTGTTTCTGTAGTCACTAAATGCAATTAGCAAAAGAACATTTTTAAAAGGCAGTGTAGCTAAAAGGTACATTATGAAGTATTTTGTTTTCTTTGGATGGCTTATGTTATGTGTGTTAGATTTAAAAGCCCTAGTACCCTTTAAAGAAATTTTAATAAAAGTGAATTTAACAAAAATTTGTTCAAGGAATTCATTCCATGATTTTAACTTTTGTTTTTAGCAGAGGGCAAGAGGGGACAATTCTAAACATTGCAATACTTTCCTAATATTAAAGGAGAAATTTTTGGAAATTAATTATATAGTAATTATTTTTATTTAGACAGCTTTGTTGTGCAGGTATAGAACATAATCACCCAAAGTAGGTTCCCTAAAGTAGCTTGGATCCCTGAAAAAGTTAAAATTAACAAGCACACAGGCACAATGTTTTAAAACTGCTTCTTTTATTTTTGTCAGGTGGTGTTCTCTTTGAAGTGGTGTTCTCTTTTAAGCGGGATATGGAACAATGGTCTCATATTCTCCTGTCGACCTAGATTGGCACTATGAAAAAGCAAGCAAGCCAGATATATAACCATAATTTCAAAGAAAACATTCTAAGATACCAAATCCAGTTCATAAGTAAGGCATAGTCCCTGAGTACGTTGATAATCTGGGGTCTGTTTGGGTGGCATGTAAGTCCCACATGGTTAGGGACTTCTCATTCCATCCACCCTGAACAGTAGTTTCTTTTAACAATTCTTAAAAGAGTGTCACTTTGCAATTAGATAAGGCTCTTGTGCAAATACCCATGTCCCTAGAAAGGTAACATTGTGACTTAAATTCACACTTTGATAGAATAATATCAGATCTCTTCTAGAGAGTACATTTTGATGTAGAGCAGAAGATAAGCTATCTCTATCCCAAATGAGAATTATAAATTGTGGGAGTTAAACTTAGACCAAGGGGGTAAGAACTGGAGAAGTTTCTGAATAAAAATGAAAGTACACATTTTTGAAGATGCCATCAGAATATATCATAGTTGCTTTAAAAAGCAGATGTGTTCAGCATTTGAGGAAATGAATTCTATTAATGCAAAAGTGAAGGAACTTTGAGCTGGGCCAAGTGTAGATAGCTGTTGCTCAAAAACAACTCTAAAAGGCATTGAGGAGAACATTCTTCTAAAACACCCTAAAATTTATGAACATAAAAAATATAATTAGGTTATTGAACTCTCCAACAAAGTGTTAGCACAAGAGAAGAAAAAGACTATTCAACTTTCTGAAGACACAACTTACAAATGAAAAGGATAATAATAAGGAGAACACATTGTCTACTGAGCATTAATTTAGATACAAAATAATAAATACCCTCTGGGGATAAGGAAAACAAAAAATGATCATTTGACTTTGGAATTGGTAAGTGAAACTAGGGCATATTAGTCTAAAGATCTATAATACCAACACTCAGATTCTGCTAGAGATGTCCATAGTCTAAAGCAGATGACAGGTTGCATCTCAAGGGAAAGACTTGGTAGTTAAACCAGTGCCAATAGGAGTGTGATCCCGTTTTGTTTTGTTTTTTAATCCTGTGGAGAGCTCATGGAATTACATGTCCAGTTTTTGTGAGAAGTCTCAACTCTTTGTAAACCAAAATTCTTTCGCAGTACAGCCGAGTCTAATCACATGTTTAAACAATCCTATATAGACTGAAGAAAATAGAAGAACACATTACCAACAGAAAGTGAAGGAAAGAGTTCTGGGATTCAACCTTCCCCCTTTTTATGGCCAGATGGTGACAATTTAGGGAATTCAAAGCCACACACGGATAGAAATGGGGAGCCATTTCCTGCCTGATAACAATGGCTGTGGTTTGGAGGAGGGAAATTAATCAAAGAAAGGTCATTTACAGGTAGTAAAGTCAAATGTCACCTCCCCCAATTTTCATGACTTGTGGTTTAGAGAAAGGTTAGCTTAATATAGAGGTTAGTGTGGCATTCTGAACTGTCTCAAGACATGATATATGAAGATGAGAATAACACTATCAGTATCCCTCCCCCTAACATCTATGTTCAGGCTTCAAAAAGGTATTTAAAACTTGACGTCATGGTGAGGTACTAGACACCTGGGAAAGTCCCGCTTAATAGACTAAGGATAACATCAAAAGTCCTATAAACTATATTCCAGAAACTGCCTCATTGGAAGACTATGTTTTTGAAATATATCATTTTTGAGAAATCCTTACGCAGAATCTACAGCACTTGAGATTGATGATGCAACTGATTTCAATGTAGTGGTATCAGTGGGACTAGCTAGTTACCTTCATTACCATTATAGGCATTTACTTTATGCCAAGCATCATTATAAGCATGTTACATGCATTCTCATTTAACCCCTATAGTCATCTTTAAGAGATAATATTAACCCCATTTTCCACATGAAAAAATTGAAGTGTGGATACATTATTTTTTCAGGATAGCATAATGTCAGAGCTGGACTCAAAGGCATGTCTTAAATTCTAAAAACCCATAGTAATAACCACCATGATATATTTATCAGTCATACAGAATTGTTGCTGCAGTTAACTCCAACCCTTTGGGTAACTACTGTCCAATATTGAACCACTTGGAAGAAAATCCAAATGTCCACGATGTTCTTAGAAGTTTACTCAAATGTGGTATCAACATAGAACTCTACCAAATCCAGTGCCGATCTGTGTGAAACATGACCTATTTGACGTCTAATACTTTAACAGCAGGTATCCATCCACCTTCTTCCTCAAGCGCCTCTGAACAAGTCAAAGACATGAGAGAACAACTGAGAGTGAATTAAAAGATAACCACCCCATAAAGAATTGAGTATCAATTAATGGTGACAAAGAGATATAGACAAGATCTTTAAATTCTGGGTCATCAAGCATATTTGCACTTTTGTTTCAAAAGGGTTTGCTTCTGATTCATTGTTCCCAGAAACATAAGCCTCACATTCCTTCCTTTTGTAGACTTCCTTCACCTATGTGTGCAAAGAATGAATGATTAAATTTGTGTAGTGAACTTTGTGATTTTAAATGGTTATGGTATTCTTAAGTGATATTTTGATCTCAAGAAACAGATTTTTTTCTAGTGGAGAGCAACTCTCAGTTTATAGTAAAGGTCAATTTGAATATTTTGCTAGGATCCATTAAACAAAGCCTGTGAGATTAGGGTTTTTCTCTGTTTTAATTTACAAATTGAATACTGGAATAGAGACATAAAACTATACTGTTTTAATTAGTTTTTTCTCCCCCACTTTGCATAGGTTATAGGAGTTATATATTTGTTCTTTCATAGCAGGTTTTTTTTTTTTCAAAAAAGAAAAGAAATCATACTTTTATTTGATACAGAGATACTATTTATTAAGGAAGCTAGTTGGTGGCTTTGGGGGAAATTTGTTTTAGGACATTTTGAATAACATGTCCTAAGGCAGAAGAGCTTCCCAAAACATCTTGAAATAGCCAAAATATGAAATGAACAAGGGGTCTGGTATGTTCATAACATATTCCTTTTTTTTTTTTACAATTTTATTTATTTATTTGAGAGAGAGAGAGAGCTGAGTGGGAGGGGGTGGGTTGGGTGGTGGAGGGGAGGGACAGAGGGACAAGCAGACTCCCCGCTGGGCACAGAGCCAGATGGGGGCTCCATCCCAGGGCCCTGAGATCATGACCTGAGCTGAAGGCAGATGCCTAACCAACTGAGCTACCCAGGCGCCCCATTCATAATATATTCTTTTAAAAATAATTGGACATCTCCTGATACTTACGTTCGAGAATAAATGCCTAACAGAAGACTCGTTAAATAGTAAACAAGAATCCTCTTTCTTCACAATCTAATATATCTGAGAGAGGGTACCCTTCTCCCAAGTCTTTGGGAATATTGCTTTCAGAGTTCATTCCTGATGTAGAGGTGGACACTGCAGGATCTAAGGCCTGATATCATTAGACAGTCTTTCATACACAGAATGCTTTGGTCAATTCCAAATCCAACATTAGCCACTTCGTGATATTTTTCACTTTCCATGTCATTTCCTATGTGGAGAAAGTGTACTTAACAATTGTTTTCCTTTATGTATAAATGATGTTTCTAGGTTTCATACAGCCATGTTTTATAAGTTTAAACATTTTAGTTGTCCTAGGTGCACCTATAAACTTGAATTTCTGTAACCCCACAAGCTAAAGACCAGACCCTGGATAGTGAAGCTCACTAAGTTTATTCCATTTTGCATATGCACATGACCCTTGTCATCTGGCCAGACTTCTCTCCTGATCCTCAAGAATATCATGGTCTCATGTTATGGTCTCCTTCTGCCTGTTTTAGAACTTCAATGAATCCTTTAGCCTCAATCAAGCCAGGCTACTTAAGGAGATTCATGAGGCACAACAGCATTTTTGAGATAAGCTACCTAAAAGGAACCATTCAGAGATCTGAGAGGAAAACCAGTAGATCTAAGAAGAAGAAAGGAAGAGACCAACAGCAAAAAATGCTGCCTGTAGGAATGACAGCAGAAAACAGATTGGAGTCATTGAGGAGTGTGAGGAAACAGAGAGGCTGTGAGTATAGAACAATAATCTTGATGAGTTTGGCTATAAAAAGAAAGACAGTGGCTAGGAGCTGGAGGAGGATGTGGGGTCGAGGGAGGTTTTGTTTTTTAAGATTTCAGCATGCTGATCAGAAGGTGTCAATAGCAAGTTAGAGCTTGGAGATAGAAGAAAATTGGTGAAGGGAGGTCCCTGAAAGGGACAGGAAAAAAAGATCTAGAGCACAAGTGAAATAATTATACCTCTTGTACAGAAGAGAAGCAAGAAAGGATGAGTACTTGCAAAGTTTGTTAGTTGATGTGATAGGAAGTTGGGGAGGGTTTGAAGAAGGTGTCAGTGTTATTTACTGAGATTGAAGGGAAAAATGGCTGGATTGAAAGTTTAACAAAAGTGAGTAAGCTTGCAATACTTGTTATGAAGAATATGAGAGAGGGTAACTTATAAAAAGTATATGGAGAGATTGATGGGCAGAATAGAGGAACCAGTTGAGGCTGGTGACCACAAACAAATCATGATATGATTGATGTAATAACTTATAGGTGAGCTCACAGACCAGGTATAATAACCTTGAAAATATGAACCACAGGATTGACCCAGTGTAGAAATTTCAACATGTAGGGAGCTGTAAGACCCTGGATCCCAAAAGTTGAGTTTAATTAAAAGAAATAGAGTAATGGTCTATTGAGTAAGCCTTATAGAAAAGGATACCAACTAATAAGGTGCTGACCAATATCAAAAGTAGAGGGATATAGAGACCTTGAGTCCCAGTGAGGTTGAAGAACTTGTCTAAAAGGGAATGCTGAGTGAGAGATATGAAAGTATATGGGACTTTGAACAGAAATTTGATATTTCTGTTGAATAAAAAAATGCCAGGATCCAGAATGGAGATTGAGAAGTCATGACTTCTAGGGGTTGGATTATCAGAAAAGTGATAGGATAATCAGGAGATTACCTTAGGTCTTGGAGGTAGAGGAAGATATAGAACTAGGTGCTGAAGTCTTTGAAGAGCTAGTCCCTAAAAGGTTGATAAGTAACAGCAAAGAGGAAGAGTAGTGAAGAGGTAGCAGTGAAGAAGGGACATCAGAGTAACTGCAGTTTTATACAGAAATGTAAATATTCTGAAAAAATGGTTTGGGTTGTATAGGGAATGTTGACCCTCTTTTCTAACCCTGAGTTAGGTGAATTATAGGAAAATGGGTGGCCTTCTTTTGAGAAGACTGTAGGTAGAGTGACCTTAACATCTGTTTTGTCAGTAACAGTCCCAATTTATACCTGTGGTCCTGACATAACTATTAGTAGTGTCCTCTTTTACTCTTAAAAGTGTTCTGGTTTCTATGTTAAATTACGTGTTCACCCTCCCTTAAAGGGGAGTCGTGGCTTCAACGGAGAGCTCTTTCATTTATGAAACAAATCTTTTTTAAATCAGTGAGAGGACATAGGATGGAATTTCTTGCTTGTTTTGCTTGAGAAAGGAGTTCCAGGCACCATGGTAAGAAAGGTTTGGGAGGGGGAGGAACAGTGTTCTACCTACGAATCAGAGGAGACCGCAAATATTGGTTGACTTGGAGTGTGGAATAGATGAGTTGGCCTCACCTGGAGCTCCCATCTTCCATTTCAATTTCCTTATCAACCTTCTGATTCCTTTGATCTGGAATCAGATTGACAGCCATGCTTTCAGAGGTTAAATATGCCTATCATTATTTATATCTTTACACTGTGGCCAGAAATTGTAGCACTGTATTCCAAGGTGAAAGACTCAGAAGGCCTAAATTGCTACAGATCATGGCCATATAATGGCTCCTAATTGGGATGATAGCCTCCTAACACTTGCTTCCCCTTTGCTTTTACATTTTCAGTTCTCCTTCCTTGGAGTTTTGGCAGATTTGGCTTTCTCTGTCAGGTCAACTTCATTACTTGCTCAAAAATCAGGGTAAGAAAACAAGACAGTTTCTGACCTCTGGATCTTATGAAGACTGGTATACTCACCAAAGTCATTAGATTTTGCTAAGCACTGTATACTGAGAGCTGATGATGAAAGGAGTAGAGTACTTAAGTCAGATAATAATGCCAAAAACCAAATAGTAATGGCCAATCTTGCTGAAAGCAAAATATTCTTATGTCTCTAGTCACAGCCATAGGCTAAAATGCACCTTAAAAGACCAAAATATCATGTAACCATATTGGAATTCAAGATTTTTTTGTAAAAGAAATGGTCCTACTTCCACTCAACATAGAAATCCACATTACAATATCTTCATAGGAGACCTGTAATTCAAGGAAGTCATTTGTGTTTAAGTCTGCAAATAATATACTGCAGTGCAACTGAGGCATAAAGCTTATTGATGTAGCTTATGGAAATATAGATAAAGCCATTTCCCTGAGTTATGGACATTCTTCATTCACCATGACAAATAAAGTTAAATTAAGTTAAAATGAGTGGTTTTTATTCACTTTCTAAAAATATTCATTCAAATTTACAAATAGACTGTTCATAGGAATCCTTAAAGTAGTAAGTTTGCAGCATCAATTTAAAATATGAATCATTTATTTAAAAATCTATGTAGTTTTTCAGAATTACCTCATGATAATAATTCAGCCTTTTTTTTTTAAAAGATTTTATTCATTTATTTGACAGAGAGAGACACAGCGAGAGAGGGAACACAAGCAGGGGGAGTGGGAGAGGGAGAAGCAG